ATGGGTGCATACGTGACGCTTATGCTTACCTCATAAAGATTGAGTAGACTATAGTTGAGCATTTTTTTGCTTAGTTTCCCATTCTTTTGAATGATGGTTTAGTCTTTACCTTAACAGCTACAAAGGTGAAATAATCCAAACTACAGTAACCATTAGTTCAAGAACTTTTTATCCTCCCACTTTGCTGTTTTTTAACAGTGAAAATCCTTGTTTCCTGTTCTTACTTCTCCATCTCTGCACCAGTGAACATAATTTTCTACCATTTACTCATTGCAGATTTCAATCACCCCTTGAATGACCACTTGTCTCAATGTTGCTACCTTGCCCTGAAGGCACATACAAAGCCAATCTCTAAGCTGCTACTTGCACTGGTCTTTGAATAATGACCCTCACCATAGCTCATCATGGTGTAAGACCCATGTGGTAAATTTGCTGTCACTATCTTTCTTCTAGTGTAAATTTATAGGGACTTCTTGCTCTAATATGGTTGACAAAACTTCACCTCACAGGCTAATGAGAAGTAACTCTTGTCTTGAACATGACATATTTAGCCCACATCCAACAACAAGGATAGCTCCAGCAGAGTTGCTGATGGGAAAAAGACTCCGCACCAGGTTAAACTTGATATTTCCAGATCTGGAGGTCCAGGCGAAATGGCAGCAGGAACATCAATGCCGGCCACTTGCCTCCTCTAAGCGAGAAAGACAATTTAATGCAGCGGACAAAGTTTGGTGCTGGAACCATGGAAATCGCCCTGTACAGATACGAGGCAAGGTTGACACGAGGTCAGACCCCGTGACTTACAGAGTTCGGGTAGGTGATAAAGTCCTGAACAAACACATGGATCACCTGAAAGCAGTTACCTTGCAAACGGGGCAGAAGCAAAACATACCTGGCCCCTCAGAACAGACAATGCTTGTCAGAGCCAATAGGTTCTCCCCCTCCGTCTAGTTACAAGGAAACCTCACAGTCAGAGATGCATGCAGCCTCAATACCGTTACCACTGGTAGAGAGGACAAAATTCTCCCAAGATGCTCCGGGTGCAAGAGATGGGCTACAGTCTGGTACATGCCGCCTGTGCCAGAGGAACCAGATCTGTAGCGAAAACATTGCAGGAAATCTACAAGAGAAAGACCAGGTCTCCATGCCCGGACTTAGTGGGGAGGGAGGTGGTGATTGGAATCAAATGGACCTCGTTGACTACAAGGTTCTTGATTGGGGTTGTTAACCTGGGCCAAGCTGGCTGGCTGGCTGGCTCTAGCCAGTGAACTGCACACAGGTAAATAAAGGGTGATTTGCTGATAGGAACCGCCTCTGTGCAGTTATTTCAGTTAGGTTTGTTTTCTTTTGGAGATAAGAAAGTTGAGCGGAGATTTTACAGAATAAATAGGAAGAAACTGTTCCCACTCATGAAAGGATTGAATACAAAAAGGCACAAATTTAATGTAATTAGCAAATAAGCAAAAGCAATACAAGGAAAAATGTTTTCATTGAGCAATTGACTACTAATTAGGTATGTGCTATCTGATAGTGTGGTGGAAGCAGGTTCAACTGAATCATTCAAAATGGTGTTACACCGCTGTCTCTAAAAATTGAATGTCCGGGATTTACAGAGAAGTTAGAAAAATAGCCTTAATTTGGAAAGTTAAGGTTTTGGTTCACAGAACAATAAATAGAACACAAGGTAGATAGAGGGTAAACCAGAACAGAGAATACTTTATTATGCATTCTCTCAGCTCCACAGTTCGTCTGCGACTGCCTCCCCCAGCTCCTGTGCTTGGTCACCTGACCTATTCGCTTAAAGCGAACACAACGCTTAAACCTAACCACATAACCACATACAAAACAACCCTTCCCTTTTATTGTCATACTCCCCTTATCAATATATATACATCTAACAATTAGAACTATTATACAAGCATTGTAGATAACATGTATACTTGTCAGGACTATTTACAGAAAAGGAAAAACAAAATGAACCAGCCCTAGTTTACATTGACATGATCAACCCCACAGTGAGATGACAATTCCTGCTGGAGCTCTGCAGGTACGTCCTTCTCTGATTGGCTGTTGTTACTCTGTGATGTTTTTCCTCTTAGAATTTCTAATTTCCACCCAAATGGATTCAACCTCATTCTCCATAGAACCCATATCATCTCTCAGTGCCGCCCTGATGTCGTCCTTGAATATCAGAGCTACACCAACTCCCTTACCTTCCTGTCTGTCCTTCCGAATAGTCTGGTACCCTTGGATATTTAACTCCCAGTTGTGACCATCCTGTAACCATGTCTCTGTAATGGCTACCAAATCATATTCATTCGCGATGATTTGTGCCGTTAACTCATCAACCTTGTTACGAATGCTACAAGCATTCAGGTAAAGTGCCTTTATGCTAGCTTTCTTACCCTCATGATTTCCAACATCTCTAATAATATCTCCTGAGTTATCCTTCCTTTTTGCTTCTTTCATAGTCTGCCTTGAACTTAAACCCTCCTGCACACATGCTAACCTGCTGCTTACCTTTTTATTTACCATCATACTCTCTGTCGTTTTCCCTTTCCCTTCCCCCCAACTCACTAGTTTAAAGTCCTAGTGACCACCCTATTTATCCTTTTCGCTAGAACACTGGTTCCAGATTGGTTCAGGTGGAGACCGTCCCATCGGTACAGATCCCTCCGGTTCCAAAACTGATGCCAATACCCCATGAAATGGAACCCCTCTTTCCCACACCACTCCCTTAGCCACATGTTTACTTCCCTAATTTTCTTATCCCTAAGCAAATTTGCACGTGGCTCGGGCAGTAATCCAGAGATTATGACCCTCGAGGACCTGTTCCTTAATTTCGTTCCTAGTGCTTGCTAATCCCCAAACAGGGCCTCCATCCTAGCCTTGCCTATGTTGTTAGTCCCAACGTGGACCACAACAACTGGATCCTCCCCCTCCCACTCCAATATCCTTTCAAGCCGGTCAGAGATGTCCTGCACCCTGGCACCAGGCAGGCAACACACCACGGAGGACTCCCGATCCGGCTTGCAAAGGATACTATCTATCCCCCTAACTATAGAATCCCCTATAACTACCACTTGTCTTTTTGCTTCCCCGTCTTGAATGGCCTTCTGCACAATGGTGCTGTGGTGAGCTGGTTCATCCTCCCCGCAGCCCTTTTCCTCATCCACACAAGGAGCAAGTATCTCGTACCTGTTGGATAAGGTCAAAAGCTGAGGCTCCTCCACTCCTGAACTCAGGATCCCCCTACCTGCCTCACTTGCAGTCACACCCTGTTGTCCCTGATCACTAACTGAATTTGAATTACTTAATCTACCAGGTGTGACTGCCTCCTGCAACAAAGCGTCCAGGTAACTCTCTCCCTCCCGGATGTGCTGCAGTGTTTGAAGCTCAGATTCCAGATCTTCAACTCTGAGCCGGAGTTCTTCCAGCAACCAACACTTGCTGCAGATGTGGTCACTGCCGTTCACAATGGGATTAGCCAGCTCCCACATCGTACAAATACAGCACATCACCTGCCCAGCCACCTCTACTTAGTTAATTACTTTATTACTTTATATCAATTTATGAGTTAAATACTTTCTAATATTTCTCTGCTATGGTCTTTTCAAATAGCCAATTAATAGATAAATAAAAAAAGAAAGTAAATTTTTAACCAATTACACAATACAGAAGAAATAGAAAAAGTATAAAAAACCTTACCTTACCAACACCAGAGTCCTTTTTTTTTGGTTAGAGGAGGAGGGCGGTTGGGAGACACTACATGTTTAGTGTCTCGAGTTCAGCCGCTGCCCAAGTATATTCTCGGCAGCCCCCTGGTCCTCGCTGTCGCCTCTCCCTCTGCTGCTGAAAAATGAAGGCTGCCGACGCTCGAGGTAAGCCCTTTAAGAGGGAAAACTTACCTTCCCAGCAGCCCCCTGGTCCTCGCTGTCACCTCTCCCTCTGCTGCTGAAAAATGAAGGCCGCTGACGCTCGAGGTAAGCCCTTTAAGAGGGAACACTTATCTTCCCAGCAGCTCCCTGGTCCTCGCTGTCGCCTCTCCCTCTGCTGCTGAAAAACAAACACTGGGTAATCATGTTTGTTTCCTACACATGCTGAGGGACTTGCTAGGACAGCAACTCAACAACCCCTCCCCTTGAGAGGCCTTAAAGGCCTGCTTCAAGGTTTGTACAACTGGCCATTTGTTGCAGGGTGATACAGAGCTGATCTCACATATCTGATTTCATGATTTTTCCAGGAACTCCTCAAAACTCTTGCACTACAAACTGCGGACCATTGTCACTCGCTACTTGTTAGGAGTTCCCAAACCTGGCAAATATTTCATCCAGTCGGTTTATCATTGCTTCTGCTGATACTGACTTCATGACCGCCAACTTGGGCCATTTGGAGTGGGCATCCATGACCACTAGTAATATCTGTCCCTTTACTAGTTCCATGAAATTGACATGAATTCTCAATCCACAGTGACTGAGGCTACTTCCATGGATGAACTGGTGACAACAGCAGCACTTTTGTTACTAACGCGTAGAATTCACATGATTCTGCTTTTTCCTCAATCTGAGAGTCCACCTTCAACTGCCAAAAGTAGCACCTGGCTATTACTCTCATTTGCACTACACCAGGGTGATCTTGTTGTATTTGTTCCAGTACCTTTCCTCGTAATGAGAGAGGAATAATGACTCTCATTCCCCACAAAATCATCCATCTGATATGGACAACTCCACCTCCTAGATAGGTAAGTGCATAATTCTGGTTAGTTTCTATTTCAAGTCTTTCCTCTTAGGACTAAGTCCACCTCTAGGCTCAAGACCAGGTCACTCTGGATACCATTCCACACCTGATTCACTGATGCCTTGTCTTCCTGGGAAAAGTACATTATTTTTAGCTTCCAATTGCAAACTTCCCTATTTCCTAGAAGTAGTAAGCTTGACAAAACATCTGCATTGTTGTGCTTCTCCCACTATTTGTATCTGACTTTATATGAGTAGGCTGACAGATCCAGTGCCCATTTCTGCAGGCGCACTGCTGTTGTTGACGGTACTGAGGTTAGCAGCCTGTGGTAGCAGCACAAAGTGCTTGGTGTAAAGGAAACGGGTGAACTTCTTACCACCAACCACGACACCCAATTCCTCCTTTTCCAATTGGGCATACTTCTCCTCCATTTTCGTTAGTGACTTTGAAATGCAATGGACTTTCCCTCTCCACTTGATAAGATGCGTGACAGTGCAGCACCAACGCCATAAGGCAAGGTGTCACAGACCAACTGCAGTGGTAACTTTGGGTGGAAATGAGTCAGACCTTTAGAGCATTTGACCTTTTGACTTCTGACCTTTTTAGGGCTTAATTCACCTCCAGGTAAGCCACCTCATAATCCTGGGTCCATATCCACAGTGGCCCATTTCCTGGCAACTGATGCAAGGGTTTTAGCACAGTTGCCAGATCAGACACAAACTTGCAATAGTTACTTACAAGTCCCAAGAATGATCTCAGTTGAGACACATTCTCTGGTCTAGAGGCCTTCATGATAGCCTTCATCTTCTTGGCTGTCTTGAATAGTCCCTCACCAGCAGCACGGTGGCTCAGTCGTTAGCACTGCTGCCTCACAGCGCCAGGGACCTGGGTTCAATTCCACTCTTGGATGACTGTCTGTGTGGAGTTTGCACGTTCTACCCGTGTCTTCGTGGGTTTCCTCTGGGTGCTATGGTTTCCTCCTGCAGTCCAAAGATGTGCAGGCTAGGTGGTTTGGTCATTCTAAATTGCCTGTAGTGTTTAGGAATGTATAGATTAGGTGGGTGGGGTGCTCTGAGGGTCAGTGTGGACTTGTTGGACCGAAGGGCCGTTTCCACACTGTAGGGATTCTATGATTACACGGCCCAGGTACTTTATGAAGTACTCTTTAAGAAACTCATATTTCTCTCTTTTTATTTGTAGGCCATGTTCTTGCAACCTTTTTAGGATTTCTCTTAGGTTTTTCAAATGTTTCTCTTTGGAGAATCCAGAAACTACAATATTGTCCAAATAAAAGTGGACACCTGGCAATTCACTCAAAATTTGGTCCATGGGCCTCTGGAATAGAGCTGGCGCTGATGTAATGCCAAAAGACAGTCATTTGTAGCAGTCATTGTAGTCACTATCGTCATCAGTGGCTGCAATTCCTTTGTGGGCCCCATCTGCAAGTAGGTCTGTGACAGATCCATTTTTGAGAATTTCTTTCCTCCAGCCAGTCCACTGAAGAGGGCCTCAATGAGTGGACGTGGGCATTGATCTGCACACAGAGCTGGGGGTTGACTGTGATCACAAATCTTCACTGAGTCATCTGTTTTTGAAACAGGGATGCTTGAAGTGGCCCATTAACTGGTGGTTACTGGTTCCAATTCTCCCAGGTTACCAGCCATTCCAATTCTGCCACGATTTTAGGCCTGATGGTGTACAGTACTGGACATGCACTCAGACTTCTTGGATCAGCCTCCCCTTCAACAGAAAATTAATTTCACTTTTGAAGAAGGGTCACTGGACCTGAAATGTTAACTCTGATTTCTCTCCAAAGATGCTGCCAGACCCTTTGAGTTTTTTCCAGCAATTTCTGTTTTTGTATTCATTTCTACTCCTTTAATTTACCCCAGGATTCCTTTGAAGACATCCTTACACCTGTCCAAAGTCTCTTGCAAACTCGATTTTGAGTCCACCAGCCTGTTGACCACGCCCTAATTTAACTTTAATTTCTGTCTCAATAATGCAACATAGTCATTTCCTCCATGTACAGAGGCAGTTCGGCACACTGGTCCTTCAGCTGTACTTTCACCGGTACATAGCCCTTCAAGGGCTCTATGTCTATAGTGTAATCTTGGTAGGCTTTAATGCCAGTGCCTTAATTTTCCCCTATAGATTGATTTAGGAATCAGAGAGACCACTGCACCCATATCCATTTCCACCTTTACTGTCTTAGCTCTAACTTGGGAAGAACCCAGAAACAATTAGCCTCATCTAATACCAATAGGTTGTTTAACCAAAACTGTGCTGACTCTGGGCCTACCACTTCCTGTGCAGACCCAGCTGATTAATAATCTACTCCCTGGCTGGCGGCATGTATGTCATCTTGTCTTTTGAATTGTCACTTGTACCCAACAAATTTGGGCATTATGGCCCATTCACTTACACCTGTGGTACCGGGCTTCTGGAGTCCAACACTTTGACTCTTCATGGCCACTCTTGCTATATCGATGGCATTCTACGATTATTACCACCCTCTGCTGAATTTCCGCTATTCAATGCATTTGGGGTGTTGTCACTCAACTGTGTTGCTTCTCTGGTGGCCAACTCCACCGATGTAGCAATTTAGAAAGCTATCTTGAAATCCAGGTCTCTTATTGTTATAGCTTCCATTGGATGGCTTTGCATCAAAGGCAAAACACCAAATGGGCCCACAAGGCATCTTGGAGGAACTGTCTGAATTTGCAATGTTCTGCTAACTTCTTTAACCCAAGAAATTGAGCGATGGACTCTTCTTCGTGATCATCATTGGGTTTGGCACAAAGTATCTTTGCAATACTTCGCACAGTTCTTGGTATGTCTTCTCCACGGGTTTCTCTGGTTGGAATTGTGAAGGTCTTGCTGCCAATGGTACCAAGAAAACTGGAATAATCATATCTCAACTACTTTACCCACCTTTAAATACGCATCAAAATGTTCAGTGTAGAGCATCCAACATTCTATCTCTTCAAATGGTCCCATCACTCTAAATTGGCCCTCCATTTTGCTTTCACACCAAGGGGATTTTTCCTGCCACTCAAGTCTAGTAGCTAGTCACCTGAGTCCCAATAGTGACGATATCCTCTGCGTCAGCTGCTCCCTCACCAACTGTGTTTGTGTACTGCTCTTTCCTGCCATCAACTGCAGTCCTGTGTCCCCTCATGACTGCTGTCCGTGACAAATTCAGTAAGGTCCTGGGTGAGTATTCCCTTCTTCAGCTATGGTTGCAGCCCATGTCTCCTCACAATTGCCACTCTCATCCCACTCCCTGGTATATACTGTTCTTCTCTGCGTCAATTGCAACACAAGTCCTCTCACAACTGTTTCTCTCGAAAGGACTCTTTCAGCACCATACGGATTCTATGAGAACCCTGGACTACAAGGAATCTCAAGATAAGAAATCAGGCATCTTGAACTGAGCGGATGAGAAATTTCTTAACTCAGGGTTGTGAATCTTTGAATTCTATCTTGCAGCAAATTGAGGATGCTCAAATTGCGTATGGTCAAGACTGAGATCAATAGGTTTTTGAAATCTAAAGATCAGCCAGGATCTTATTGAATAAGCAAGCAGGCTTAAGGAAACCTACAGTCTATTCTCTACAGCTCTTTTTCACCAACTTACGTAGACATGTGTAATTTTCCTCTGATGTAAAAGATGTACTGTATCCTCATTTCAAGTAATTTTCTCTCAAAAGCAAACACAAATCAAAGAGGGAATATATTGTTTATGTTATTATAAACAAATAGTACATGCTGTGTAAGAAGCTATTTTGAAGTGAGTAATACTCTAATCAGATATTGTGTACATCATCACAGGAAGTGATGTAATGTTACATGATATTCCTCTCTTTTGTACAATTTCATGGCAGATCTTGCCATAGTAAGATGTGTTCCAGTAAAGTTCTTCTTTTACCTAACAGTCTACATACATTCTGCATTAGATTAATAGAATCAAGAATAATACAGCAAAGAGTGGAAATCTTCACCCAAATTATTTATAGGGTCTATATGTTGGCAGACTCTTTCTCTTTCATCACATGGCTTATCACCAACTTCTCCATGATTCTGGTTGAAAATTTTATTCCGCTCCAAAATGCTTATATTAAGTTTGGCTTACAAGTTTTTTTTCCATCAATGACTTTGGATGAAAATCCACTTACTAGGAGGATGACATTCCTTAATAGTGTAATGTACTAGATTTATTATTGATTTAATGAACAGATTGCAGAATCTTAAGTAAATTCACAAATAATTTCCTAAGTAATTTTGCTGGGTGGAATTTAGTGCCCTACACCATGGCAAGCTTTTAGTGGGAGGCACTTAAATCAGCAGAAAAGTGGTGAGTGACGATTTCTTCACCTTCCTTCCTTCACTCAAATCAGCTCAGGGTGGAAAGACCCATGGATGTCCATCCCACTCCACTGCCAAGTAAAGTAATTATGTTGACAATTAAATGCCCACTGAAGGGCCTCATTCCACTACCACTGGTAATAACCCAGCAGCAGGCAGGAGGACTTGCCATGCAGGCAGACAAGCAGACCCTGTAATGTTTGCTTACAGGCTCCTGGCATGGACAGGTTGGGAGTCCAGCATCAGAGGCACTCATTGTCTGATTGAAGAAACTGGCATTCAGAACTGGTGGGGAACTTTCTGAAAGCAAACCCTCTGCTTTTGCTGCCAGCACTCATTGATATCTACTCTGCGCAACAGCAATTCTAAATGCTCAGAAGATAAGCAGAATGTTCACTGCTTGAAGATCAGATTATAAAGGACAAGGGGGCTGACAGTTGGCTAACTACCATTAAACACAGCCCTACTATTCCACCACTTCCTGTTGGACTGTTGTATTGTAGGATTCTGTTTTGCAATCAGTTATTTTCTGACTTTTAAGTGGTTCAAATCAACGCCAGATCTCTGGTTCTAGACACTGGACTTAATTAGCGAATGTGAAATGAAGAAGGCAGTAGACATGTGTTTCAGGACAAAAGAATTTCCGTATTTATTAGAAATACAAAAGGTATGTATAATACAAGCAATATAGGTAAATGCAATAAACAGGGAAATTGACACAATCAACTATACAGAGAACATTATTAGCTAGATTAAACACTATTAGAACCTAAAGACAATAGTTTTAATCACTGAATCTTTAATCATGCTTCTTATCCTTGGGGTCCCAATGCACTGTCACCACCCACCTTCCCCTCCCTACTAGCTAGAACTTTAGGGTCTCGGGAATTCCAGCTCACCACTGAGGAAAATGCGAATTTGCAATATGCCTGGCTGTTCCTATTGCCATACCCAGAGCCTGAATTTCAGAATGCATGGGTTTTTTAGTTTGGGTTGAGTCCGCTGATGCGGTAAGGTGCATATTGGACCTATTGGGTAAGCACTTGGTTTTCTTTATTTTCTG